AAACCCTAAACCCTACCTGGTTCATCCTAGGTCCCATCAACGTGCTGGCGGAAGTGGAGACAAGGGGTGCCCTGAAGCGCAAGGCTGTTGTAATGGAGAGCGCAGCCCATCAGCCCTGAGTCAAGAGTGATTTTTGCTTCGGTGTGGGCTTCGCTGTTAGGCGTACACTAAATTCCATGCAAACGAATCAAGAGTGATTCCGGTTGCTCAAAATTAGAACTTCCTTGTTTGGGGAAACCATATCTTCAGGATTCCCAAAATAAGAATGTCCTTTTTGGGGGAGCCTTATCTTCAGGATTATAGCATGTTGGGTAGTATGAGGGTTCAACCTTATGCTTCGGAATCTATTGGTATTTTAGTATATGGTAGTTTCCCAAAATAAGGGAACCCCAATATAGACCCCAAAATACCATAGTCCTTATTATAGGGACCCCCAAAATGGTACCCCTAATTTTGGGAAACCCCCATATACTAGCGTCGTATCAAGAGTAGGAACCATCATGCGGTGGACTACGCCTGAGCCGAGGTTCAGGTCAAGTCACAGAAGTAAGCCAGAGGGTTCTGCTATCGTTTCCATGTTCTCTTCCTTAATCCCTATATAACCCTCTATTATCCTGTCATACATGGGGATTGCAGGGGGGTTCTGGGGGTCTCTATGAATAATTCCACAGGGGTAGGTTGGAGAAACTCACAGACTTACCCAGTCCAAAAACCCAAGTCCACATAATTCCATCCATCCTGTCCTGGTCCTTATGATGAGGAAGACTGTAAGGGTGTTTTCCAGCTTTCCGCATTAAGCCAGCTTAATGCACGCTTGCATGCAGGATAGGCTGAATTACAGTGGGCTTTCTTACTTTAAGTTTGGAACGCCTTATCAGTAGACAGCAGGAATTAAGTAAGGTTGCATCTCAGACGCCCACGTCACTTCCCAAGCCTCAAGCCCCACACCACGCTGCAGTGCAGGTAAAGACCCACGTGTTCTTATGCTTTATGCAGATGATGCACATAGTAAAAGACCAGTTTGTTGTTGCATATTCAGTAGAACCTGCACGTAACCATCCCTCACTACACCCAGCAGAGCCCACAGCACACCTGGCGGCCGTAAAGTGTAGCAACCTGATGAATTAGGCAAAACTTTTGATTCGGCCCACAGCATGTAACGGGCTGCGGGCCAACAACGACGACAACGACAACAGCAACAGCAACAGCAACCACAACCACTAGTATTTCTGCTGCTACTACTACTACTACTACTACTGATAATACTTCTATGATGGTGATCCTCGATACTCAAGACTGGTAATATTGTTGCTAGCATATCTAGCTGGCATTTTTGCTACGGCCGTCTCGACTTTCTCTGACGTTTATTGCAAGGCTTTGAAGGGGGATGCTAGGAAAGGGCAGCGTTGGCGCTTTCTTCATTCAACCTCGGCCGGTCCATTCCGTAGGTAGTACTGCCCTCCTCCAACAGGACCCGCCCCCACCCTCCAACAGTAAACATTATCCCCTAATGTATACCGGATTTTTATAGAGAACATTTGTCAATGATTTGGGGGGTGGCTGGGGGATTATCGTCACGGGAGGGGATTCTGGTGGTTTCCAGGCCTGAGGGGACGAGACGAATCAAAAGGTGGGATGCTATATATGAAAATGCCCCTGAAGAGACCCACCGCATGTTTGGAAACTCCAATACAACAATGAAAATGCACGACTTTACTGAGAACTTGCTGTTGAAGTGAATCTCGCTCCAGCAAGGTTCAAAGCTTGTCAGCTGGTTACTCCCGCAAACCCGACAGCTTTATATTACCCAACATCACGACAAAAATACGATTTGGAACAACAGGCGTGGTTGGCAGCTGTAAACCTTATTGTTTCTAGCTCAAGACGAATTAGGTTTTGTTTTGGGACATGTTGTTTCAGTGTGTGGTTTTGTTTGCGGATGTTCGTTGTTGGTGGCCGCTTTGTGGCGCGATGGAAGCCGCCTTTGAAAGCTATTCTTCCATCTGGCTTCCGGTCTCACAGAGCCTGGCTATGTACTAGGTGGACCCCGCCAGCCAGTAATAGTGACTATAAGGGGTAATAAGGACAATATTAGGCTCCTCTTGTAGTCCTATTATGCCACTACTACGGGGTGGGGGGTCCTCCTAAGCTATGTACATGTAAGGCTGGCAAGAACGTGATGCTTGCTCCTGCCAGCAGCAAGCACGGGGAAGTGCTTGTTGCATGGGTTTGTATGTGCTCGCGCTGGCTTTCAAGGGAGAGACTGTGTCATCACAGTTGGCATAGCAAGGATGGCAACATTCTTTGATTACTATAGTAGTTTCCATTTTCTTTTCCATTATCCCAATGTTACCCCAATATACTATAGTAGTTTCCATTTTATTTTCCATTATCCCCATATAACCCGAATATAACCCCAATATAATCCCAGTTTCCATTTCATTTTCCATTTTCTTTTCCATTTGATTCTCCATTATAGTAGTTTCCTTTTTATTTTCCATTATTCC